CTATTTTCAAGAGCTTATGCCCAATGCATACTGTGGATTCCTCATTATCAAAATATTAAAATGCTGGTTTTTAAGAACCTAAAATAAGAAAGCAAGGTTTGCCAAAACCCAAAATAAAATATGAATGGTCAGAGAAGGAGCCAAAGTTTTACTCTAGACGTGAGTTACTTTAAAAATCTGTTACAACTGGAAATTTTAGATGTAGAATTTTTAAACATAAAAATATCTAAAACATCACAGTAATTTTTAATAAAATGGTTTATGATTTTATGAATACCATACTACATTATCAATAGACAAAATCAATTTATAAAGGTCTAGATCTGGTTTAAATACATATGATAACCTACAAATAACAAAGTAACATTTATCAAGTGCAATGGAAAAATATACACTGCATACAATAGCTCTGACATTTGCAGCTTTAACGTTCAGTCTTAAATGTTTATAAGTAACTCTAAAGGTTCATGCCATGTAGTAACTTTAGTGACACGTTTTTTTTCATAGGTAAAATTTACAGTCAAATGCACAGATTTTAAGTCTATGACTGGAAGCCATATAACCCCGACTCTAAACAATACATAGAACATTTCCATCAACCCAGAAAAGTGCCCATGAGGCATAAATTGAAATAAATGTACAAGGGAGTGAGTCATGTAGCTGGGCATGGTGGCTCACACTTGTAATCCCAGCTACTCAGACGGCTGAGATGGGAGGATAGCTTGAGCCCAGGAGTTCGAGGCTAGCCTGGATAACATAGTGAGAACCCGTGTGTGTGTGTGTGTGTGTGTGTGTGTGTGTGTGTGTGTGTGTGTGTGTGTATTTGTTCCTGTTTTTAAAACATGTAGCTAGTAAGTGAACCAAGCCATTGGTTCCTTTTCACATAGAGGTCATAAGGGAAAATTATTTACTACAATGATTTCATGGTCTCTTGTTTAGAGAAAAGGAAAATGGTCCTTGATGTGAGAATATAAAGCTGCACCCAAAACTCAAGAAGAAAAATTGTTTCCTATATATTAATTTGAACCTCTCAGCAATACTGAAAACAAGAATAGAGGGTGAAGCAATGTCTTAAAAACTGTGAAGAAAAATTATTTCTAACCAAGAATTCTATAGTCAGCAAAATTATCAAATGTGAGGTTAGTAAAGACATTTTCACATATCCAAGCTCAGGCATTGAAGCCTCAAAAGTTCCCTCCCACTGCATACTCTCGCAGGAAGCCTCTTAACCTAGAAATCTTCCTTTTTCCTTAAATATGTTTCTCTACTTTGTTCAGAATAATGAAATAATGAATTCTTTGACAGCTTTATTATGAGGAAATGAAACCAATACAAAGAACTAATTCCACTTAAACGTATTTGAAATTATAGATAGAATTTTATCACTTGACCTTTAGAGAATTACAAAGTCTAACCTGGTCAGCTTCTTGCATAACACTGCTAGTACCAGTACACAGGTAGGCAGAAGATAGATTATTTTTGCTACTTATTAGTATGTTCCTAAAAGAAAAACATAGACTAAAATTGCCTTAAAAGCTTTTTTAAAAACATAGTATGTAGATTTAACAAATTTTTATGTGAGAACCACTCAGAGAACAGCTGGACATTTTGGGAGAATCACAAAGTCCTTTAAAAATTACTAGAGTTTCCAAATAACTCTGTGAATGACTGGAATAAAAATACCTTGGATATGATTCTAACACAATTTTATATGTTGGTTTTTTGAAGACTTTTCACACATAAACTATCACTATTGAAAAATCATATGCAATTGTTATGATGGGGCAGAAGAATACTTAATGACATGGAAACATGTTCCTTTTTGTTTCTTTTCTTTCTTTTTTTTTTTTTTTGGAGACAGGGTCTCACTCTCTCATTCAGCCTGGAGTGCAGTGACACAATCATGGCTTATTGCAACCTCCACATCCCAGGCTCAAATGATACTCCTGCCTCAGCCTCCCAAGTAGCTGTGACTACTGGCATGTGCCACCAAGCCCAGCTTGTGTGTGTGTGTATATATATATATATTTTTTTGTAGAGACAGGGTTTTGCCATGTTGCCCAGGCTGGCCTCAAAATCCTGGGTTCAAGTGATCTGCCCACCTTGGCCTCTCAAAGTGCTAGGATTACAGGTATGAGCCACTGTGCTCAGCTGGAAAGATATTCTTTATAGAATTACCACATATTATAGTGTCTACAACATCCATATGAAAATGCCAGATTAATAGATGCCAAAATAACTGTAGTTACTATCAGGAGGCAGGATTACTGATTATCTTGATTTCTGTGTTCAAATTTTCTAAAGTTGCTGTAATGAAGATATTTTACAAAAAATATTTAAAAAAATATACCACAGCTGGCGCAGTGGCTCACAGCTATACCAGCAACTCAGGAGGCTGAGGCAGGAGGATTGCTAAAGGCCAGGAGTTCAAGACCAGTTTAGACAACACAGTGAGAGACTGTCTCTGAAAAAGTAAAAAACTTAGCCAGGCATGATGATGTACACCTGTAGTCCCAGCTATGGAGGAGGCTGAGGCAGGAGGATCACTTGAGCCCATGGCTCTACTGCACTACTGCACTCCAGCCTAGGAGACAGAGAGAGATCCCAACTCTAAAATAAATAAGTAAAATAAATAAAAAAAATACACACAAAAGAATAAGAGCCTATTTGACAATGTAATATTCAGTTAAAAGGAAATGGAAGAAAGTAGCCTTGATGTGTTCTTCAATAACCTGTTTCCAATTATGAAGTCCCTTCCCTTTTACTACGCACCACCTCCCCCAAGATAAAGCCTAGGGAAGATGTATCTTCAATACAAAAGTACTTGTTTTAAAAAAAATGCTTTTCGGCCGGGCGCGGTGGCTCAAGCCTGTAATCCCAGCACTTTGGGAGGCCGAGGCGGGTGGATCACGAGGTCAAGAGATCGAGACCATCCTGGTCAACATGGTGAAACCCCGTCTCTACTAAAA